GAACTTCCCCTTTTGGGTGGAACTCAGCTTTAATAACTTTCGTGTTCTCCCATGGAATATTGGGTGATGTGTATTGAACATTCTGATGAAGGAATTATTGAAAAATAAAGTAGAAAATGCAGTGACAAAATACTAATCGTACTTAATGAATGGATGCCAGAGTATCTGGCTGCAAAATCTTTGTGACTCCACACCATATGTCTTATCAGGAGATAAGAGGGGGACACTGGAAGAAGGGAAGGATCAGAGAAGTCAGGATCATTTTTTTACTGGACATGTTTAACCATTAGCCACCCGGCCAATGGCCGTTTGGCGGCTTCAAAACTGTCTCTGCACTCCGGGTGCACGCCATTTGGCGTGCTCCCGCACATGCGCAGTTTGCGCTAATGCAGAGCGGCGCAGCAGTGCGATCTGTCACCGGCCGTGCACCTCGGACACGGCCGATGACAGATCCGAGTACCGGCTCCCGTTGCTGGTACCATGTGACCTGCTGTGACCAATCACAGCAGGTCACATGACAGTTGTATACAATGGATGGCTTCATTCATGATGCCATCCATTGTATACTAGTGCCTAGCTGTGAATGGTCACAGCTAATCACATGCACATGTCATGTGATTAGCTGTGACCAAATCACAGCTAAGCACAAAAAAAAAAAAAAAAAAAAGCTGAATGAATCGATTTCATTGAGGTAAATGCTTGCTTATAGCAAAGTAATTCTTTGCTATAAGCAAATTGTGTAAAAAAAAAAAAAATACTGATCACTTCCCCAAAGTAGTACAATGTTACTATGGTAACATTGTACTACTTTGGTCATAGTAAAATATGAAAAAAAATCTTAAAATTTTTTTAAAAAATGTAATAAAAAAATAAAATAAAAAAAAAATTTAAAAAAATTTAAAAAAATTAAAAAAAAAATATTTTTTTTTTTTCATACTGTCACGAGTCAGTGTCCCTGTTCACCGCCATGCCAGTTATATGATGACGCTGTACTGCGCTGGTGACAGTATGTAAAAAAAAAAATAGTGAAAATTTTTTTTTTAATTTTCCGAAAAATTATGACAAAAAAATACAACTTCAAAAAACTGGCCATGCCTCTTATGAAGTACGTCGGACTGTCTACTCTGCAAAAAAGGGTCATTTGGGGATATCTGTACTGTTCTGACATTCTTGGACCTCAAGAAATTAGATTGGCTGTCAGTACTTCAGGATTGATCAATATTCAGATCTATACCATAGTTTGTGAACTCTATAACTTTCCTACAAACTAAAAAATACATCCTAATTTGGGTTATTTTCACCAAAGACATGTAGCAGAATACATCTCGGCCTAAATTTATGAAGAACAATTATTTATTTGTAAACTTTTATAACAGAAACAAAGAAAAATGTGTTTTTTTTCAAAATTTTTGGTCTTTTTTTGTTAATTTAGCAACAAATAAAAACCCCAGCGGTGATTAAATACCACCAAAAGAAAGCTCTAGTTGTGTGAAGAAAAGGATAAAATTATAGTTTGGGTACAGTGTTGTATGACCGCGCAATTGTCATTCAAAGTGTGAGAGCGCTGAAACCTGAAAAATGGCCTGGGCAGGAAGGTGTAAAATTGCCCGATATTGAAACGGTTAATAGCAAAAAGTCCAAAATATTGTTTTTTTCTCAAAATTGTCAGTGGTTTTTTGTTCATAGCGTAAAAAATAAAAATGCACAGGCGATCAAATACCATCAAAAGAAAGCTCTTAAAAAGGACTTAAAGCGGAGCTCCACCCAAAAGGGGATGTTCCGCTTTAATGACTGCTCCCACCGCTCCCCATTAAGGATTGGCACCTTTGGTAGGTGGAGGGGAGCGGGTACCAAATTTGACAGGTACCCACTCCCACTTCCGGTCCAACCGCCTAGGAAATGGAATGTGTCCTCCCTCCCTCCCTGTAGTCTTTTGGGACACGTGACAGGTCCCAGAAGACTTCAGGACCATTCACGAAGCACAGTTGTACTCGCGCATGCACAGTGGGTACCCGGCTGTGAAGCCGCAAGTTATCATAGCCTGGTGCCCAGAGCTCAAAATTTCAAGTCCTGAGCTACTAGTCAGGCCTTAAGAGTTACCCGCCACCAGTTGCCCCACCCAATCCTTACCCTGCCTCGCCCCTAATTCCACCCCTAAACACGTCTTTATAAATTATCTCATGAAATGACACTGTTACATGTTACCCACATTACATCAGGGTCCCCAGAGTCCCCCCCACATTACATCAGGGTCCCCAGAGCCCCTCACATTACATTAGGGTCCCCAGAGTCCCCCCACATTACATCAGTGTCCCCAGAGTCCCTCCACATTACATCAGGGTCCCCAGAGGCCCCCCACACATTACATTGGGGCCTCCAATGTCCCCCTAAACACTCCATCATACTTAGACCATGCACCGCATACAACCATAACCCCCTATAATCTTTCACTCACAAAACCATAACTCTACCAAGCATATCCTACCTACTATCCAACCCAGCTGTACCTCAAATGCCCCATACTCCAACACTCATAATAACCACATCATCCTGAACCTGACCAAACCAGCCATACATGTATGTTTACACACAGACACATGTACACACACATACACGTACGCACATACACACACAGATACATACACACACAGCCCTATAAAAAGTTGCAGTACTTCCTTACCTTCTTTCACAGATCTGTTTACTGCACTCTAGGGGGAGGCAGAGAGCACAGCACACACTCCTTCCTTCGCTTTCACTGCGCTCAGCTATTGAGCAGTCTGACGGCTCCCAGTGCCAATGACAGATCCGGCCTGAGCTCCGAGCCTGCTCAGCAAGACGGCCCTGGGGGACACACTGGCCCCCACCATAATTTCCACTCGCCAATGCAAGTAGGCGAGTGCAAATTTCAAGGCCTGAGGGTGGGGAAACGGGCTGCGGGGGACACACCACGGGACCGAGGGACAGGTAAGGGGCTGTTTTTTAAAAGTAAGCAGCTACAGTTTTTGTAGCTGCTGACTTTTCTTTTTTGACAGCGTGAGTGGAACTCCGCTTTGAACTTTATTTGGGTGCAGCGTTGCATGGCCGCGCAATCGTCAGTTAATGTAACGCAGCACTGTATCGCAATAAATGGCCTGGTCAGGAAGGGGGGTAAATCCTCAGGAGGGCGAGTGGTTAAAGTGCTGCTGTTGTGTTTAGGAAATGGGTCAGGCTCTGTTCCCATAATTCTAACACAGCGTCACTGTCATTCTGCTACAGGCGGCCACGTCTGTGCCACAGATAAGGCTCAGGGCGGCCTACACGTAAAAGACGTGCCCTGACAACGGCGCCAGAATGGGCATGGCAGCCTGTCCGCACCACGCTTCGAGCTTTGTCCTCATCAGCACTGAAAACAGATGACATCATGAGCGACCTCAGCTTCCTGCTGGAGCAGTGAGAGGCGAAGGGAAGAACCTGGTTATTTTGGCATGGACACAAACTCCTGCAGAACTTCACAGACTGGACATCAAACGTGTACAAAGTGGAGGCGCGTTCTACTGTCTGGACTTATCAGTGACAGCTGCCTCTGGGCTGACATAGTGAAGCCTTTGTGGCTGGCAGCATGGCTGACCTCTGGCTAGCTTTTCTCGGCTCCTGTGTAATTCTAATATTACCATTAACCCTCTGTGAACACGGCCCATCAATAGGGAGCGTTCCTCCGCAAGACTCTGAGAAAGGGTATTCCTAGGAAAGAATACTTTAGCAACAGGCCAAGACAAACCTAGCCATAGAAATGATTTTGCTTACTTTTTGTATTGCAGAATATATCCTCACCGTGGCCGCACGTGTATCGATAGGAAAATGTAATCGATCAATCAGTGCGACGATCAAACTGAATAATTGCCAAACATCAAACTCCCTTGAGCTCCTGATCAGGGGCAGACTGACAACTCATGGGGCCCCTGGGCAATAGGGGATCATGGGGCCCCTGTGTCCTTGCCCACACTCAAACCACACACAAAAAAGCCTATACCAGGTGTATCTCATGGGGCCCCCTACTGACCCCGGGCCCTCGGGCAGTGCCCGAGTTCCCAAATGGTCAGTCCGCCCCTGCTCCTGATCGATCAGCTGTGGCAGAATTTTGATCATCTGAACGATCAAGCAAACATGTGTGCCTGTGTCAGAGATCTGATTCAACTATTGATGGATGAAAATAGGATTTTAACCACTTCAAGTCCGGACACTTTCACCCCCTTCCTGTCCAGGCCAATTTTCAGCTTTCAGCGCTATCAGTTTGAATGGCAATTGCGCGGTCATGCAACACTGTATTCAAATGAATATTTTAGCCTTTTTTTGAGACAGATAAAACTTTATTTTGGTGGTATTTATTTCCTACTGGGATTTTTATTTTTTTTATTTGCTATATGAATGAAAAAGTCCAAAAAATTTAAAAAAAAAGTGTTTTTCTTATAACACTTTGCAAATAAATAATCTTTCTTCATAAATCTTGGCCAAAATGTATTCAGCTATCTTTTTAGTAAAAAAAAAAATAACCCAAATTAGTTTATAACCAAAAATTATAATTTTTCTAATTTTTTTTATTATTATATTATTATTTATGTTTTTTGGGGTTTTTTTTACATACTGTCACCCTAGCAATACAGTGTCATCACCATAGTGACACTGTACTACTTGTGGGGGGTGATGAAGACTTTTTTTTCTTTTTTTTACACTGATTCATTTTACACCCATAAAGGCTGTAAAAGTAATAATTTCTCCTTCTCTCTGGTTGCATTCCTGCAGCCATTGAGAAATACTGTGAGAGCTGTGATTGGTCACAGCTTGTCACATGGTACAAGGGTGTTTTTGAATAGCCTTGTACCATGTGACCTCTGTGATCATTCACAGATTTCACTAGTAGTAAGCAATGATGTCAGGAAGTGACATCTTGTTTACTACTCTTCATGTGATCACTGATTGGCCAATCAGTGATCACATGATTGGGACCTCGCACAGAGTACAACAATCGGTGTTCCCAGGGAGCGCGCACAGGCAATGGATGCAGGGGGACGTTTAGAAACATCCCCCCGCATCCGCAGCGCTCCTGTCCGGCCGTTTAGCTACATGGCCGGGCAGGAAGTGGTTAAATTCATTTTTAATATTCAAAACAAGCTCGTCCATCTATCCATGTCTCTCTGGGCACAGCGGGCACCGATCGCGGTGTGGCACGCTCCCAGGGAGCGTGCACAGGCAATGGATGCGGGGGGACGTTTAGAAACATCCACCCACATCGACAGCGCTCCCGTCCGCCCTTTTATCTACATGGGCCAGACGGGAAGTGGTTAACAGAGTGTTAGGGCTTAACAGACAGATTAAAATTTCAATAATTAAATAGGAGACAAATCGCTTGTTTGGGACAGCTTGTACCTAGATCAGGGGCGGACTAACAACTCATGGGGCCCCCGGGCAATAGGGGATCATGGGGCCCCTGTGTCCTTGCCCAAACTCAAAAAAGCCTATGAAAAAGGTACCAGGGGCATCTCATGGGGCCCCCTACTGACCACGGGCCCTCGGGCAGTGCCCGAGTTTCCAAATGGTCAGTCCACCCCTGACCTAGATTAATCACAAATCACTTCCTGTATGGCCATCATTAAAAAAAAGCTTTAGGCTCCATGCAAATTAGTGGTTTTTTTAAGCTATAAAAATTTTTTATTAAAAGTTTTTATTAGGAGCGTTAGTGTTTTTACAGTACATGTAGGAAAAAAAAAACCTGTTAGTAGCGTTTTAGTAGAGTTTAGGAGCGTTTAGCATTTTTTTTTCTGCTGCAAAAACACTCCAAAAAACTATTTTTTTTCTGCTCATAGAAGCTGAAGCTCAAAAAATGCTAATAGCCTAAAGTAGTGTGCATGGACACATAGGATTACACTGTTTAGCTTCTAGGAGCAGAAACATAAATGCTAATAACAGCTTCTAGGAGCTTAAAAAAAATACTAGTGTGCATGGAGCCTCAATGTGTAGTAATGAACCCATCCTTCCACAAATTTTGATTAACAGCAAGCAGTTGCTGAGATTTTAAAGCCTAGGTTTAGTCAAAATATTTTTTCTTTTTTAACCACTTGCCCTCCAGAGGATATCCCCCCCTTCCTGACCCGGCTATTTTTTGCGTTACTGCGCTGCGTTACTTTAACTGACAATTGCGTGGTCATGCAGGCCACACCCAGATGAAATTTATGTCCTATTTGTCCCACAAATAGAGCTTTCTATTTGATCTCCTGTGCAGTTTTTATTTTTTGCGCTATAGGTAAAGAAAGCCCGACAATTTTGAGAAAAAAACTATATTTTTTACTTTTTGCTATAAAACATGTCCAGCAAAAAAAATTTAAAATTCTAATTTCATCCTAAATTTAGACCAAAATGTATTCAGTGACATGTCTTTGCTAAAAAAAAATCCCAATAAGTGTAAATTAAGTGTTTTACGTGAAAGTTATAGCGTTTATAAATGGTGGTATAGATACTGGGATTTTGTTTTTTTTCCTACTAGTAATGGCGGCAATCAGCGACTTTTAGCAGGACTACGGGACTGTGGCGGGCATTCTGACACTGGGAGGAACTAACTTGGTGTCACTGACATCCCCAATGACACCAATACAGTGATCGGTGCTAAAAAAACAGCACTGACACTGTACTAGTGGCACTGGGCAGGAAGGGGTTAATGTGTGTGGCGATCAAAGGGTTAACTGTGTGTAGGGAGTGTTTTACTAGGGGGTGGGGGGAGGGGTGCTTTATTGTAAGCACACTGATTGGGATGGCTGTGCTGTGCAATTTTTAATAGGAAAGCAGAGGGAACACCAGGGATTTCACACAAAGAAAGCAATACAAAGAGAACAGAATGTTTTTTCATACATGGTACAGCAGGCACATAACAGGAATATGAAATGGTGCTTTTACATATTCTTTAAAGCCCACCCTTTGCTATCACACATAGGCATTACATGGACAGCAAGAGGTTGTATAACATTTCTCAAGAGTTTCTCCATTTCAACAAAAACAAACTGTAACAAACATCCACCTTTCCTTATATCTGTAAAGATGTTCATATCTTAGTCCCTCTTTTATGCAAACATTTTTATATTCCAAAAGAATATAAAAATGGGCATAAAAAATGGGCATAAAAAAAACAAAATCTATGCTGACAAAGACATACACCTAGGCTGTTCATAGTTATAGGAAAAGTTAAGACAAGATCTCTGCAATATAACATAGACAATTGGCAATCAAATCGATGGAGACAAATGAATCAAGAGACCTAATCACAGACTGTTTGAAGGAATACGTGCAAACTAATATATCAAAGCTCATATAATTAGAGTAATATTGCTATATAGCAATAATTTAACAAAGCGCCTATATAATTAAAACATAGACAGTTGAGAAATTATGAAAAACAAAACCAAAAGTGTTGTGTTCAGTCTGAATGGTCTAGGATTGTCAGTGGTGTACCCCAAGGTTCAGTGTTGGGACCCTTACTTTTTAATATAGTTATAAACAATATAGGGTCTGGGATTATAAATCTCATTTCAGTCTTTGCAGATGACAACAAGCTGTGTAGTGGAATAACGTCCTTACAGAATGTCTCTAATTTACAAGCCGACCTCAATGCACTGTTTAATTGGGCAACTATGTGGCAAATGAGGTTTAATGTTGATAATGTAAGGTTCTGCACTTGGGGGCTAAGAATATGCATGCATCATACATACTAGGGGGTACAACTGGGGGAATCAATGGTGAAGGATCTGGGGGTTCTGGTAGATCACAAGCTTAATAATGGTTTCTAAAGCGAGCAAAATTCTCTCTTGTATTGTGCGATTGTGCGGAATAGAGAGACTTGGACCCCTTTGAGATGATAGAAAAAGACTGACAGCCTGGGGAATAAAGAGCTCTCCTTTTAACATCGATCAGGAACCACCTAAGAGACTTGAGAGCTAGAGCAGCCTTTGTTCGGACAATTGGACTCTGCTCAAACCAAAGACTTTTGCAAGTATTCTGCCTTCTGAACTTCTTTCTTTTATTTCTCTGTTGTTTTATTGCTCTCTTTATATCTTTGTTACATCTTTTTCTGTAAATATTTTAATTGCACCATTTTGACCTTTTTAGTAATAAATCCTATTTTCTGAAAAGTGTTGAACTGTCTCTAAAGCTTTTAATGTAAATTAAAGAATCTCTGTCTCTGAAGAGTGCTACTGTATTTAATAATCCTCTGAATACATCTGTCTGCGGTGGCAGTGTGTGTTACAGACGCTTTTACTAATATCATAGTGTTACTGCTAAGATTTGTGAGTTTCCTCCTTCTCTGTAAAAGGTGGTGGTGGCAGTGTGAAGGGTTAATTGCGTAATTAACCTGACCCAGTAATAATCACTCTCAGGCTGCTGCCACATAGATTGTGGTCCTGCGAGCTGGAAAATCTTTGTGCAGGGCGCAGCTGAAAGTGGCATTGTTGCGCAAGTCAAAAAATATCTAAAAATTCCTCCTGTGCTCAAGGGAAGTAATGCCTATAAATCAAAGCAACCGACACTCCAAACTGATACCTTAACAGTGACAACAAAATCCTCATAAAATAGTGCAGAGCTAAACAGTAAATATAAATCAAGCACATGCAAGCAACTATGCCTCAATAAATGAGTGCCAAAAAATATGTGTATAAATAAATAAAGTGCTTCAACAAGTGTGACAAATGGTCATAAACATGACCTATAATAAGTGCAAAAAATCACACTAAGCATAAGTGAAATTCCTCTCCTATATATAAATAATAATAATACCAACCTCTTAATAAACAATGAAAGAACCCATATAATAAGGGTAATAATCATACATGTGAAAAATGCCAAGGTGACCAAACAATAAATCACACAAAAAAATCAAAAAAAGTCTCTATCAAGTCCATGAACATTTGAAGAATGGTGTTTTCAAACTGCAATATATCATGCAATGTGACAGTGGTGATGATAACTGTGAACGTGTCAGCACACTTATCCTCAGTGGCTAAATTGCCCCCTCACCTCCTTTAGGCGACCCTATGAGCCACTTTGCTTTCACGATCACTCCTGTTGTACTTACTTTATAAACATCAAGCCCAACCCTGTTTACTGAGTGTTTTATGAGGTTCTTCTGTATGATAGAACATCCTTTCTTACCTTGTTTGGGCTTGCTATTGAAAATGACAATGTTGTGATGCTATATCGCCATCATGTGGTGTTTGCTGATTCTACAAATATTATTTCTTCCTTCCCCATCATGTGAGTATATTATACAATTATTATCCTTTTATAAGTTCCTTTCACACTTGTATGTGTACATTAAAAAGTGCAGCGCCACATCTATCTATCTATCTATCCATTTAGTCATACCCAACCCTTGGAGACTGCATGGACTGTCACTTGTAAGCAACTTTTTCCATCAATTCTCTTAGCAATTATTTTTACAGGGTAGGTTGCCAGGTCTTTCCCCAACCCCTACCATGCAGGAGATCCCACATGGCCAGGGATGAAACTAGGACAATTTATACAGAAGCCAATTAACCTACCGGCATGTCTTTGGAGTGCAGGATGAAACTGGAGCACACCCACACAAACACAGGGAGAACATACAAACTCCATGCAGGAGGCGCTATGGTCAGGAATCAAACCCATGACCCAATTACTGCAAGGCAGAAGTGCTAACCACTAAGCCACTGTGCCACCATGCAGTGCCACATATAAATATTGAAATAGAATCACATATGTATACACTTTTTGTGTATAAACAAACTAAACTTAAGAATCATCAATCAGTGTCTGTATAATTCTTTAGTAAAAATGCATAGTGTTTTACAGTGCCACAATACATACATAAATATTACAAATATTATATAAAAAAGTGCAAAAAAAAACTTGTGTAAGTAAAATGTGCAAACAATTCCACCATACATGTGTCACCAATGTGCACCGCCACCTTTAACCTCCTTGGCGGTATGATTCTTTCCGATTTTTGGTGCTGAAAGCGGTACCATTATTTTGCATGGAAATATGTAGTTTTTTTTATTGTAGGCTGTAATTCTT